AGAGGCGTAGGTCTCCCCACTTCCGGAGCGCTTTTCTCCCCTCTCATTCTACGAAATGTGCCCGCGACTGGGCTGCGAGGTATGGCAGGGCGACCACATTTGCGCAACAGCGAGATCCTAAAACCCCCAACTTAGTCCGGACACTGCCTTTAAAGTTGTCTGCCGTACAATCGTGGTTTTTACGAACTGCAACGTCTTACTTTTATCCTCAGTTCATAAACTCAGCTACTTATAGATGTTCCGTCGAGATTTCTCTCAAGACTTTGAAGGTGTCAAGGACCCTCTCATGGAGGCTATAGCATCCCAAGTGGATCCACAAACTGTTATCAACATTATTGAAACACAAAGGAAGAGGTGAGTGCAATATGGCATATTGATCGAACACTGAATCAAGTATTACAGCCTTCGTCGTTTTGAGAAGACCAATGAAATGCTTACAAACTGTACACAGCTGAGTGAACGACGCCTAGAAAGAGCTAGAAAAGATGCAGCCATCCATAAGGAGACGATTATGCAGGTGATAAAACACACTCTGTAAAAACATTATTATCACGTGCTTTACTTAATGTTCTATTTCAGATGAAAGCAGATTTGGATTTCATTTTCAAAAAAATTCGATTGTTCAAGAGCATTCTATCAGCAACATATCCGCAAATATACAGTGAAGGTATTATCTCAACTACACAGTCTCCATATGGTTCAATATTATGTTTACAGTAGAAAAACAATGCAAGGCGCAATTTTCGGAAGAGAAGGATGAAGAATAAATTAATCAACAATAGCAATTAGACTCAACAATTCGGCCATAGTGAATGATATTCTCAATGCTTTTTCTTTTTGGATCTATCCTCATCAGAAGACGAACTGCTTGAATGTCTTCGTTTTCTTTTGCTTTTCTTATGTCGGTGATGATGATGAGACTCTTCGCTGTCAGATGACGAACTGCTGAAAAATGTACGGTAAGCTATTGCAACGATGACGTGATTGTAAGTAAAGATCTCAACCTGCTGCTGTGTTTTCTATGTTTTTTCTTCTTCTTTTTATCCTTCTTGTCTTTCTTCTTCTTATGTTTGTGCTTATGTTTCTTCTTCTTTTCAACTAAAAACATCCACTTAGCCAGATAAAGTGGCTAAATAACTCAGAATCTTGCCTAAGGGCGTCTCCCCATCCGTTGTTTCACTACTGGTCGAACTGATATCGATTACAGTTTGCTGACCAGGTTTAAGTTGTATGTAATTCCTGCACTGAATATCTTCATTTATGAATGGTAATAAAACTGAAAATCACACAGACTTACCTGAAAGGGTAAATGTCCAGGGTAGCCACACTTTCGACAAGCACCAGTCACTGTTTGCCTTACTTTGGCTAGGCCCGATACATCTAAAATATGGTATACAAACTCGTTCATTGCTATAACACATATTGAGTAGTTTCGAGATCAACCATTGACATGAAGTAATTCGCCCTCTGTTTCACTGACAATGATGCCGCCTCCAGCGGTTCGAATCCGCGCAATCGCCTCGCTTAGCCGTTTGCGAACATGTTCTTTGGCCATTTCCCCGCTCCTAAACAAAAGGCAGCGTCCAAGCAAATCTGAACCTATG